GTGGTGAAAAGTAATTCTATTCTTCCTACAAGTAAAATAAATAAAAGTTTAAGCCCTTTTCAATCCTATTGGTCATGTCCTAGTGGCAGAAATGATTGAAAATTCTTTTGAAGTATTGTGTTCGAGCCTTGGAGGATGTAAAGCTAAAGGAAGTTTTTCAAGAATTTTAAACTGAACGGTTTAATGATTTACATTGGTTCGAGTGGTTCTATTGGTTTTAAATGGTTCAATCTTTTTATCAGTTTTAAGCACTTAACTAACCCATTTATGATACCAAGTGCTGGTCCAACCAGTTTGACCGGCTGATCCAGTTCGGTTTTTAAAACTTTGGTTTCTGCCGCGCAAGAAATTGAAAGGCTTATTTCTTAATAATAAGAATAATAATAACAACTCTAAGGATTTAACTGCTGATATTGAGAGAATCAAAGGGCTTAATAATGTTTTTCTTCTTTTCAAAAAGAAAAAGTAGGTAAATGTAGCACTTGGGCCTTCGAGTCCAGTGACGTCAGGTCACGTATAAATGCATTCCCCCACCCCCAAGACAACGGTTCGAATCCGTCCTCTTGTGAATTTGTTCAAAAAAAAAAAGGTAAATGTAAACTTTATCATTGAAAAAAAATTAGGTTAAACCCCCTTTTTGGTCCCTCAACTATTGTACGGACCCCCGATTAAGCCCCTGAACTTAAAAAATCCCTGACTTGGTCCCTACTGTTTACCATTTTTACCCCAATTTGGTCCTTCCGTTAAACATCTCTCCACCTGTACTGTTAATTCACGGTAAGATGATGACATGTCAAAATTTTACTCCACGTGAAAGACAACATGGCAAAAACTAGTGACATGGCAATAAAAATTTTAAAAATTCTTTCTCCTTCCTCGTCCCCTTTCTCCTTCCTCTTCATTTCCTGGACCTAGAGCCTAGGATCGTCGAACCCAAGCGATGGGATCCTTCAAACCCAGCTGGGCGTTCCTCGTTCCCTTTCTCCTTCCTCTTCCTTTCCTTCTTCATCAATCAATTAATCATCATCATCAAACAACACCCACAAAAATACAAAAATTATTTATTTATTTTTTTGTTGAAGAACCCAAGCTTGGGTTCCTTCGAAGAACCCAAGCTTGCTGGGTTCTTCAAACCCAGGCGCTGGGTTCCCTTGAACCCGCGCCTGGGTTCCTTCAAAGAACCCAAGCTTGTTGGGTTCTTCAAACCTAGGCTTGGGTTCGAACCCAAGCCTGTTGGGTTCTTCAAACCCACACTTGGGTTCTTCGAACCCCAGGCGCTGGGTTCCCTCGAACCCGCACCTGGGTTCCTTCAAGAACCCAGC